GTTGATAGACATATGGGACCTTTGAAGGATATGAGATATGATTTCTTTTTGAAAACAATTCACAAGTTTACGAAGGTTCGCCGAAACTATGGTAAGTTTTTCCATTTGTCATGATCATATACATTGACTGACAACTTGAATTCACAAACATTTCTCGTAAAGTCTCCACCTTTAACTTTGATGTAGCCACCAATTGGATCTCGTGTGAGACTGTTTCAACCCTGCTTTTCTTTGTGTTCTTGACAGGAACTTGACTGTGAATCACATGGTGTAGACGATTTTGCTGCGTAACATTAGTTACAGAGAACATGATGCAGCACATCTTCTATGTTCGGTTTTCCAAGTACGCCTCTTTCAGGTTTCCAAATCAGTTTAGAAGTGATTTTACGTGTTACTTCTTTTCCTAAATCAGTTTGGTTGGTTTAAGTCTTGTGCGGTTTGTTCTTACAAATAAAACTCTCTATAGGCTTTGTAAAGAAACAGGTTATATATGTCATGAACAATGTAATGAATGAGCTCTTTTTATTGAACAATATATCTTAACGTATTTTCCACACACTTGTATTACTATATTTATATATGCCAAACRTAAATCATGAAATAAAAGTATAATAATTTAAATTTTAGAAGGTAATATGTGCAACCACAACGGATTCGGTGAGTACCATATAGGAATTTTTTTTATCAACTTAAAATTTTTTTCCCCATCCAATCTACCATACTGGTGCGACCAAACAAAATTTAGCCCGTTTCAAATTCGATAACCAAGTCTACTAATATATGTAAAGTATTTTTATAAAAAGCCATTCATTTCACATAGTCTATGAAATCTATAATCTATGTAAAGTATTTTTATATAGTCTCTTGCCTACATTATTTGAGCTATAAAACACTTGTTCATCTCATTTAACTTTCTACGCCTTCTAAAACACACTTGTTCTCCTTGTAGGATCTATTATCTTTTCACTTTTTCTTTGGTCACATATAACATGTTAAGACTATATATTGATTTACATCTCTTTGTAGTGAAGTTGTTCATATCTTTCAGCAAACGTCAAGTTTTTTACTTTCTAATCATATTTTCTACTTCACAATCTTCAATTTAATCATTTTATTACATTGCCTCAAACATTCATCATC